AAGAAAGAATAAATGAATATTTGGGTTCACACCGTCTAGATTAATAAAGAATAAAGAGAAAGACAGAAAAGCGTAAAGAAAGAAAGAGAACGAAAGAAAGAAAGAAAGAAAGAAAGAAAGAAAGAAAGAAAGAAAGAATAAATGAATATTTGGCTTCACACCGTCTAGATTAATAAAGAATAAAGAGAAAGACAGAAAAGCGTAAAGAAAGAAAGAAAGAAAGAAAGAAAGAAAGGAAGAAAGAAAGAAAGAAAGGAAGAAAGAAAGAAAGAAAGAAAGAATAAATGAATATTTGGCTTCACACCGTCTAGATTAATAAAGAATAAAGAGAAAGACAGAAAAGCGTAAAGAAAGAAAGAGAACGAAAGAAAGAAAGAAAGAAAGAAAGAAAGGAAGAAAGGAAGAAAGAAAGAAAGAAAGAAAGAAAGAATAAATGAATATTTGGCTTCACACCGTCTAGATTAATAAAGAATGAAGAGAAAGTAAGAAAAGCGTAAAGAAAGAAAGAGAACGAAAGAAAGAAAGAAAGAAAGCGAACGAAAGAAAGAAAGTAAGAAAGAAAGAAAGAAAGAAAGAAAGAAAGAAAGAAAGAAAGAAAGAAAAAAGAAAGGAAGAAAGAATAAATGAATATTTGGCTTCATACCGTCTAGATTAATAAAGAGTAAAGAGAAAGAAAGAAAGAAAGAAAGAAAGAAAGAAAGAAAGAAAGAAAGAAAAAAGAAAAAGAGAAAAAGAAAGGTAAAAAGTAATAGTTAAAGAAAGAGAACGAAAAAGAAAAGGGAGAAAAGAAAGATAGGGAGAAAGAAATAACTCAAGAAAGAAAGAAAAAGAGAAAAACTCAAAGAATATTGTGTGTCGTAAGGTGTTAATCTAAAAAGAAAGAAAAAAAGAAAAAAGAAAGAAAGGAAGAAAGAAAGATAGGAAGAATATTTGACTTTATGTCGTCTAATCTGAGCAAAAAGAAAAAAAGAAAAAAAAGAGAAATTGAGAAAGAAAGCTAGAATTAAAATGATAACAAAAATGGGAAGAAAAAGCAGACTACCAAAGAAAGAAGGAAAGAATAGAATGAACGAATGAATCAAATTGGAAAGAAATTCAAAGAAAAGAAGACATATATGAAGAAAATGAAGAGAAAACCCCACAAAAAGGAGGCAAAAAGTAATAATAAAGAAAGAAAAAAGAAAGAAAGAAAAAAGAAAGAAAGAAAGAAACATTAAAGAGAGATATAAAGAGAAAGTAAATTAAAATGAAAAGATTCATCAAAACGTCAAAAGAAGAAACATATAAGGAAGAGGAAAGCAAAGAAATTCATGAAGAGACGAATAGAGATAAGGCAGCAAGAATTAAAAGAGAAAGAAAGACTGAAAGAAAGGACCAAGATAGATGTGGAAAAAAAGAAGAAGCGAAACACAAAGACATACAGAAAGCCAAGAGGTGTATACAATGCTACCAAGTGTATTTGAAAGTGAAATTATTTTGACGAGTTTGTATAAAAGGACTGTAAGAAAAGACTACAAAGAGAAAGGGTGGGAAACTGGCAAGAATTAGTTAGAGCAATAAAAGTCGGGAAGATGTGGAGAACCGTGACCGCGCACGCCCTAAAAGAACATGGCATGTAAAAGAACATGGCATGTAAAAGAACATCGGTTTATATTTACGTCGCGAATGCTTAAATCAGGACAGACGCGTCTTACAAATTAAAATAGTTCCTTTTGAATCGCTATTTGATTTATCAACCATAGAAATGTGTGTATACAGAAAGAGAGAGAAGTGAAAGTGCGTATATATATATATATATATATATATGTGTGTGTGTGTGTGTGTGTGTGTGTGTGTGTGTGTGTGTGTGTTTGTGTGTACGTGAGTATCTCTGTGTGTGCACGAGTGCGTGTGCTAATAGAACCAGTAAATATGTTCTTTGTATATTCTTGCTTTCCAGACAAAGCGGACGAAAGTGTGGCGGCCCTATGATTATTTTCTAAGGTGAGATTCGGCTGGGGTGGGGGGTGCAACATTAATGGGCCGTGCACGGGGATCGAACTCACAATACTTGCAAATTTGTTAACAAGAAGAGTTTTCTCGTTATCGGGTAAGAGGCGGCCCCCACCAGATGTTTATTTCATAAGTTAGTCTATCCCAAGACAAAAGTTAAACAGGGCATCTTATATAGACTGAACCCCCGATGGTCTGTTTGCGCGTACATACTAACTATCTCACTATGGTCGGCGCCCCTTATATACTTTATTCAGTCTGGCACAAGGCAAGAATAATTGAGCTCCTTCACGTTCTTAATGTTGCCCCGAGAGAGAAGCTTGCTATCGCGTCATGGTAGATACCTGTAGGTGGGCTGTGTATATTTTGAAAATAATGAAACATATTTGTATGTGTGTGTCTGTGAAGACAAATTGAGTGAGAGAGAGAAAGAGAGAGTGAGAGAGAGAGAGAGTTTTTACTAATGTGTGTCCATATTGAATTGGTGCTAATGAACAGGTGCTTGCACTGAGCGAGATTGAGAAATAGTGTGTATTACTGTGATGGTTGGGAAAAACAAAGAAAACAACTGTGTGTGTCCGTGTCTGTTCGCGCAGACATTTATGTGTAGAACACGCTCACACATACACGCACACACGCACATACGCTGGTATTTCTTCACTGTGGGCCCGTCTGCCACGTCTTTTTCGACCTACCGCGTGGAGTCAGTTATTAGTAGCACTGGTATGCTAAAGGAAGAATCGTGTTCCTTACTAGTCGCAAGACCTGCTACTGTTGACTATAACAGTAGAAGCTGGTATCATACAAGCGAACCACATTTGTTATATACAATAGAGACTTACTCCCCCTATAGAACAAGGCTATATTAGGGGGTTTTATTATTCTTAATTCACTTTTTGCAATTTACTTATCTTTCAATACAGATATTTGCTGCAAAAATAATTTCTAATAAAGATTTTCCTATTAAATACATATTCGGATCAATTCCTATATTAGATAAACGTACCGAGATATAAATGCTGTTACCAAAAGAAACTTGGCAACTGTCAATCGTATTTACATTATTCGGACTATTGTCCTCATCTTTGTCGCCATATTTATTACAACCTTTCGGCCGTTATACGCTCCGGCCTTCTTCAGATGGTTGAAATGTCGAACTGAACCCTTTTATTTCGCTCTATGGGTCCTGTCACTGGATCTAACCAACACCTTTATCCAGTGTACCATGTGTCCTTGAGGACAGTCTACCCCAGTGAGTTCATTTCGACATTCCAACCACCTGAAGAAGGACGGAGCGTACAACGTTGTAATAAATATGGCGACAAAGATGAGGACAATAGTCTGAATAATGTAAATAATGTACATAATACCTCATCTCAGAAATATAGACAGAAACTGTCAATCGGTTACGAGATATTAAACCATAGCAAGATAATCTGAATTTTCGGTCTCGATTATAAACAGAATGCTTAGAGGTAGAAATAGAATTTGTTTTGCCAAGGCTATGTGCGATTTTAAATTCAGTGTCGTCCTTCTTCTAGACAAGTTGCCAACCAAGGCCGTTTTGCTATATAATCCATTGGTGGGGGGAGGAGAGATATTTTTCAAGGGTATTTGCGTGAAAGTGATTGCAATAAAACTCGACCCGGATTCGAACACGTTTCGCCTATTTCTCGTTTCGAGCCGCTACCCGTTACACTTATGAACGGAGAAATATTTTTAAAAAAAATCAACTCTTCTTTCATTTCAAGCTAAAGAAATATTAATTCGTTATTAATCGATCTTTCGTAGAGTCGATCATCGGTTCTGTCTGGTGGTTCACACACACACACACAAGCACACACAAACACACACGTACACACACATTCATATTCACACATATTTACATATATACACATCCACACACACACATCCACACACATACACCTACACACACGTCTTCACGCACACATTCACACACATATACCCACGCACACACATATATATATATATTGGAATATGATTACACCTGTATTCCCCCTCACTGGAATATGATTGGCTGGTGTCCGTCATAAATACCGACGGACGTGTAGGAGAGTCGAAGAGCCTTAGTCTGAGAGCTAAGTCTATAACGACGCCCATTGGACTACGCCATTGATCTACACTTCTTACCTGCAACTACAACGCGTACCAGTCGATTACTGCTACCGTATTCTACTTGGTAGAATACGGTATAGTAGCCAAAACCACTTAGCTACTTCGTTCAAATATATCCCTTTCCGGGACATAGCATATATATCTATATCTATCTATCTATCTATCTATCTTTTATATATATATATATATATATAGATAGATTTATATATATATATATATATATATATATATATATATATATATATATATAGATAGATAGATAGATAGATAGATAGATAGGGTACAGTAGAAATACCTCCCTAGATAATGGTAAGGCAGTAAGATGTATTTGTTGAAGGTATTTCTGCCGCAGCCTGTATGTGTGTGTAAAAATTCAGCTATCAATAAAATATATCAACGAGAAGACAATATGAATTAAAGAAAAAGGTACACCTTTCTTTACCAACGCATTTCGTCCTCTGATGGACTTGAAAAAGATAATGGTTAAACATCCGAAAGCATAGGGTAAGTTAATTCCTTTTTAATAATATGGGGAAATAACCACTCTTTGCCTGATAAAGTTCGCGAGACAGGAAACCCGTGTAGCAAAAATAGGGAAAATGAAGGATAATATATATTTAAAAAATCCACATTATAACCAAAAACATTTGCGGCTTCTCTCTCCTCTTTAAAATATACACATTTTTCTCGTTGGACCAACTATAACCTCTCCCTTATATATATATAAGTATATAAATATATATATATATATATATAACCTCTCCCTTATATATATATATATATATATATATATATATATATATATATAAGAACTCATCCTCTCGCACGCTTTTCCTTAACGAATTAAACAATGTAAAACAAACGCTGATTAATAACGGATTTCAATTATTGGTATCCACATTACGCGTTTTCTTTCTATGGTAACGACAAGAATAGAAACATAAATAATAACATTGATATATTTTAAAAAATCAGATGAGCGAAAATTATAAACAGAATTAAAGTAGAATTAAGAACATTTAAAAAAAATGCATAACACCAGTTGACAATAGCAAAAAATTAGATTAATTATTTATTACAAAAATTTAATACCTCTAACCTTATAGTTAAAAAATAATAATTCACGTCCTAGAACAAAATTAAATAAGGCAAATATTATATACGAATTTAAATGCCCATTAAGGAATTGTATTCCTAATCAATCAAAATTCGTAAATTATATAGGCCACACTACAACATGTTTGACATGAAGACTCACTCTACACCTTTCTGACCATAGCTCAATTAGATCTCATTTAAATATTCATGGAGACCTAACGGACACTATTCGTAACATACTTGTTGACAATACTAATATAATAACATCATCTACATGCAAAAAAAGGCTAAAATTAATGGAAGCCTTATTAATAAAAACAAAAAAACACTTAATAATATTAACTTTGAACATGGACACAATATTTTGGCCGTGTTATGAAAAATGAGAACATTTTATCAAACATACATACAACAA